TGAACACTTATGGTTTATGCTTATGGTTTCACGAGAATGTCTTAAATCATGATAATGATAACTTATTGATGAATTCCCATAGAAGACCATTTTTTGTTAAATTATATTGATCTGAAATTATTACATTGCAATGGCATCATTTTATTTACATATATATACAGCAGTGATCATAAAAATAGCACATTAAACAAAAAAACAGTGTTATTATTGTTTTATTGTTTTAATGTAGACTTTATAAAAGTCTACATTAAAACAATAAAACTAACATTAATATTTTTTTGAAAACCCTTATTCTTAATTACTTTAACACGTTTTTGTGGCATGCTGTTTACAAGCCTTTAACATCATTTGACAATAGAGGCATTCCAGACTTTTAAAATTTCCCCCTCCAAAAAAAATTTTTTAAAGATTTGTTTACCTCCTAAAGCTACCCCAATACCCTTGTGTAAGTTCTCAATCAGATTCAGATCGAAGTTTAGAGTGGCCATTTTAAAATATTAACTTTATTTTTCTCTAAGTTTAAGTTGTTGTTGTGCATCAAAAATAGGTAGGTAGGTTTGTATACTGTATGTATACAGATATTTTCATATATATATATATATATATATATATATATATATATATATATATATATATATATATATATATATATATATATATATATATATATATATATATATATACATATATATATATATATGTATATATATATATATATATATATATATATATATATATATATATATATATATATATATATATATATATATATATATATATATATATATATATATATATGTATATATATATATATATATATATATATATATATATATATATATATATATATATATATATATATATATATATATATATATATATATATATATATATATATATATATATATTTGAAAATATTATATTAAAATATATAGATATTTTCAAATGAATATTTGAAAATATCTATATATTTCATTATTATAATTATTAAAACATTTGTTGTTATCATGGAGATATTTGTATATGTGTGAGATTTTGTCTTTCAATATTGTATTCAATATTGGATTCTGCCTCCAATAAATTTGAGCTTAATCTTAAAGAAAGTTTGTTCATTGAATAGAAAAATCCAGATATGAACAAACAGACAACCATTATAAAATTTCACTTTTCACATAAAAGTTACTATTTATTAGTCATAAACCTTTTGTTAAAAACTTAACAACTTTTTTATTGTATAATTTTCTGCCTATTTTGTTGCAATTAATAAAAAAATAAATTTTAATTTATATATATTTTTTTTATTTTAATTTAATTTATATTTTACTTTATTTGTTTTAAAAAAAAGGTTTTTGTTAGTAAGCGGAAAAATTTAGTCTTATTTCTCAATTGTTTTATTTATATTATGCAGAAAAAAAATTTTGGAAATATATATATATATATATATATATATATATATATATATATATATATATATATATATATATATATATATATATATATATATATATATATATATATATATATATATATATATTTGAAAGTCTATTTCAACTCTAAACTATGAAACAGGAACCATAGGCATACACAAAAGTTGAAGTACTTTTACATAGACATAGGGATTTAAACCCCAAACCTATTGATTATAAATTGAAAGTTTAAAATTCTCTAAATTATCAAAAAAAAAAATTTAATTATAAAAAAAAAGAAACCTTTCCAATGATACTTTTATTTCATCAATTAATGAGTATTCTAGAGGAATAGAAGAACGTTTTTCAGTGAAGCATAGTTCTTGTCCACTTACAGAGAGAATGTGCACACCCATTGGTAGATAGTTTACAATCTAGTAATCACAAACAAAATTATTTATGATCAGATTTATAATAATTGAGAATTATATATATTTTACAATGTAAACAATTGCAATTAGAGTTATAATAATTTACTTGAATAACAGAAGAAAATGTGATAAATCTTCTTCCATTTAAAATACTAACATCTATAAGAATCTCATAACTTGTACCACTCTAGAAATGAATCTTTTCTTTACACTATCAAAATATTTGAATTGAAATTTCAGAAAAATACCTTTGAGCATTATATTTTTAAACCTACTTTTGTTGAAGTGAGTTTATAACCATAACAACCAACAGCAGACAATGAAAAATTTTTAATTAAGTTAAAGCCAGATACCTAAAAAGAAACTTATAAATATTTGAATATATACATATATATAATATATAAAATAATATATATATATATATATATTTTACATATGTTATACTTATATATATATATATATATATATATATATATATATATATATATATATATATATATATATATATATATATATATATATATATATTATGTATGTTATACTTGTGCATAATTAGCTCACTAGTTAGAGAAAGCATAATTAACTCACTAGTTAGTGAGTGCATAATTTATATATTAATGGATTTCATTTTATGATAAATTTAGAACTATTAAAGGTCTATACTTCTTCAACAGCTCAACCAATTGCATAACATAATAATGATTGATAAACAAATTTTTATTGGGGCTATTTATAGAACATTGTACAGAGGGATAGATCTTTACTTGTTTTGAATTTCGCATTTGCTTTTAAATAGATTGAAAAAAAAAAACAAATAGGGGACTGAACATACAAGCATCCAAAAATACATTAGTGCCATATGATGCCATAAACAGACAGCATATATTCTAAATAATGCACCCTATATTTTTTGTTTAACTATATTAATAAATAAGTAAAAACATTCTATTTTTTATTAGTTATTTTTATTAGTTTTATTAAGTTGTTTGAAATAACCCAGACAATGTTCTCAATATCTTGTAAAAAAAAACCTCCAGAACAAAAAAATATAAAAGAAGATAGAAACCTATGGTATACCAGATAGCGCGCAGTTATTAAAAAAAAAACTTATTTGGCCATCAAAAATCTTTAATTTTTTTAAAATTCTTTCAATGAAATAGTAAGTAGAGAAATTTTAACCATCGAGTATAAAAATAAGTTCAAGTTATTTAGAGTTATGTTGTATGTATAAACTTACTTGTTGTAACACAAAGTTAAACATAGATTATATTACATATTATTTTGTTAATATGCTTAACTTCTTATATTGTTGTATAACTTTCAGAAAGTGAAAAAAATTAAATTTTTAAATAAAATATTATTACATAAGAGGTATTATTCTTTATCGAGTTCAGTTTTAATAGGGTACCATTGCGGTTAAAAAATAGATTTAATAAACCTTTCACAAAGCTTTCTGCGATCAAAATGTGGACAAGCAATACAAAAAGAAAGTTAATTCAAATACAGAAGAAAACGTGTATAAAAGTACAATAAAACAATGTTATTAGGATTTATTCTCATCAGATTCTTGCTACCTTGAACATTTGTTAACTGGTGCAATTAAAAAAAATAGGAAGAACTAAAGATTCAATGACAAACTTTAAAAAAGGATAATAGAAAAAAAAAGCTTTCAAAATTATGTATTTAAACAAAAAGTTTACATCTGGTAGATTTTCTTGCTGCAAAGAATAAAAATAATATTAACATAGGTGCAAATAATATGCATAATCATAAAAGTCTTATATATATAAAAAATTCAGCATTGTTGACTTTAATACTGGAAATAGTCATAATTTTATTGTTGATTTTATATATTATTTAGTCCTTTGTTAAATGAACATGAAAAATATAATTTTATCACCTTAATAAGTCTCAATTTTCTACTTTTAAGACTTTCTTGGAACAGAAAATTACAACTTTCATATTTCAGCTTAAGGAGTGGGAGGTTTATAATAAAGTCTTAATTGTTATCTGTAAAAAAGCAAAAGCATGTATGAAATTTTATATCAGTGTAGCATTAGTGATGTGGCTATATTTCAGAAGTGTGGAATTACATAATTAACTAGTTTTTAAAGTACATAAAAGAATTTATAATTCAAGACTTGCTTTTACAGAAACAAGCAACTATTTATATTGCGCACTATTCTTAAGTGTGTGGAAAGTTTACAAAAGAAGAGGTCATGCAATTAATAAGAATTGTAAAAAACACAAGTTTCTTTTGAATGATTATATTTAGAGGAACATATTTATTTATATTCAAATAAAAAAACAATTCAATCAAAAGTTCGGATTATTTGATACAGTAATGCTTTATTTACTGGCACTAGCATCTTAATTAGTTTATGTATCTTTATAATTGGTAAACTTTTAACAATGCTTGTATATTTTGTAAAATTTAAATTTTGTTTTTACAAATTTAGCTGTTTAGTTTTATATATATATATTTTTTCCTTTGTATTATACAATTACTAATACAAAAAATAAGTAAACTTAAAAAGATTAAAAACCATTTTGAACAAATTTTTTAAAGTTTAAAAATTAAAGCTTTCTTAAAAACTATGGGTTAAAACTTATTCATAAATGCTTTTGTAAATATGTACTAATTTTATTTGGTTGCAACTTTTAAAAATAAATTTATATACATACTAAATACATATATTTTTATTATTTTTATTTTAAAAATATCATTTTAAGAGTCAATTTTTAGCTAAACATCTCTAATCAGAGAGCTGGCTAATATTTTTCTGACCTTGTCAAATTCTTTTTGTTTAAGCATTTACCTTCAGGTGCTTAATACGAAGGAGGGGTAGTTAATTAACATTTGGAAAATATACTCACCCAATGCGTATTCATTAAACTTATTTGTTTATTAAATTTCACTTTTTGCCAAAGAAAAGTACTTACTGATAAAAATAAAAACTTGGAGTAATCAGGCTTTAAAATGTAAAACTTAAACTAACTGATGAAACTTTACAATGAAAACTTTCATTGTAATCAGCTTATAAAAATTCAAAAGGTTTTTGAGAATTTGTATTGAAAACTGAATATCTTGTACTGTTGTAGTTATACATTTTTGAATTGTTTGTCCGCATTTCGACCCCAGAATCCTTAGTTTTAATTTATTCAATAGTTACGCAGCAAAAGTAAAATGGTATCCTTTTTTTAACTTTAACTTTTAATTAAAAGTGGATAAGAAGTATAACTCAAAGTAGCATATAATTTTTAAGAGGAAAGTTAAATTTTGATAGATTATTTTTCTTTAATTATATTCTTTAATTAATATTACAAGTATTGTAATAACATTATAGAATTATGGTAATTTTTTTATAACACTCAACATTAATAAGCAATAATTTAACTATCTTCGTTTATAAATTAAAAAAATCTTAGAAATGGAAAAAGACTTACCATCAACCATCAAATTAGGATACAACAATTTTCTTATAAAAAAAAAAAAAATAGTCAGCTATTTATCTCCTTTAGCTCATTAACTAAGTGTAATTCTGATTATTTTAGTTTTAAAAAACATGATTGAGGATTTACAAAGTAAGTGAATAGTTCTTACTTTTATAAGTCACACCTGTCTTTAATTCATTTATTTAATTTTAGCTCTAAATTTTATGAAAAATTCATGAAAAATTTATATTTTATATTTCTATTTTAGACATTTATTAGGAGTTTATGTATAATTTATATATGTATAAGGAGTTAAGAAAAAACAAAGAAAAGTTTATATGTATTATATTTACATTTTAGACATGTTAGGAGTTAGAAGACAAAGAAAAGAGTTTAAAAACAAGAAAGCAATCGAGCAAAACAATTGACAGAAAAAAACAACTGTAAATTGTATGAGTCAGGTAGATAAAAAGACTGGTTTCAAGGCACTGATTTTGGAATAAAATAAACTAGATGAGTAGAAGTTTTTTAAGCATGAAAGAACAGTTACAGTAAAAGAACATTACTTTGCTGAATGACGAGTCACAGGATATTGAGTTTTGGCTGATGGAAAAAGTGATGATTGCCAGCTTAAGAATGGTAGTATTTGTAGAAAAGAGAAAGAGATAAAACCAGCCCTCGGAATTAGGGTCAACATTTGGCAATACCGATATAGCCTCAAAGTGTTTAAAGTCAGCAAAAAATTGCCAACCTTGTATTTATGCTTTATGGTAACACCTTCATATCAAAATTCTTTTTGCTGACCTGATGCTAATCTCTAACAATTTAAGGTCTGCAACTTATTGCCAACTTCATTTTTCCTAACAACAAGGGCTGGACAAACAGTAGGAAAGAGGCTCAAACTTAAAAACTAAACCAGGTTTAACAACATTTACAATGATTTTCAGACTTTGTCTAAAAAAGAGAGGGGTTTATTAAAAGAACCAGCCCAAATAACATTATTCTGTACATGAACGAACAAGAGATTTACATAGAATGGAATTAGAAGAAAACAGTGAAAACAATAAGTCTCCTTTTTTTCTGCTTGTCAATCTCTATAAGATTGACAGGCAAATGATTTTTTTGTTTTTTATTAGCTTTTTCAAGTTTTTTAGTGTAGTTGTTTTAGAATATTTCTTCCAGGAGCATCCGTTAGAAAAGCAGCTTTTTTTTTCTTAGTCCAGATAATTTTATTTTTCTTGGGGCTGCCTTTGTGTGTACGGCATAGTTTCCAGAGAAATTGCATTGGGAGTTTTAAAAGTAAGTAACATTGTTTGTTTATTATTATTTTCTTTAAAGAAGAATTTATGGCAGACAGAGGGTTTACAATACAAGATTTTTTAAGCCCACTAGGAGTTAAACTGCTTATTCCACCATTTTTTAAAGTTGGAATTGATTCACTAAAACCGACGTAATTCAAAGTTAGCAATTGATTGTTATTATAATTAATTCATATTGCAAATGATTGTTATTATATCTTTTGAATGATTCAAAGACTTACATGCTTTTATATATGTAATAATGGTATTCTGGTAAACATGATTGGGTCTCTCAATCAAATAGTTATTGTTTGTGAAATTTTAACAAATTTTTGTGAGCCAATAATAAAAGATACAGAAACTTATAAAAAAAATAGGTATCAAGACATAAAAAAAAGCATTAGGATTGAGTTTATTATTTATATACGATCATAAATAATTACAAATAGATACTTCTTCAATATAACTCAATGTAAATATATATACATTGTATTTTAGCATAAATTTATAAATCCATATTTTATGCAACAGTATATATCTGTAATATAACACTATATAACAGTACATACTGAGTACATATCAAAAAAATATTAATGTTCAAATTAGTCTATTGTTGTTTA